AGAGAGAAACATGGATGTGAGAGAGAGACATTGATTGGTTGCTTCCCGCACGCGTCCCAACCAGGGCCTGGGATCAAACCCGCAACCCAGGTACATGACCTTGACCGGAAATCAAACCCCTGACCCTTTGGTCCAGGGGCCGGCGCTCTAAGCATGGAGCCAAAGTGGCCAGGGCCATTCTGTTTTTTAAATTTTTCCCTGCACGTGTCTCACCATAACCAGAATACGTCTGTGTACACACATCCAGACATTTCCCTCGGTGCCAGGGTCACAGATACTTTTCTTAGTTTCTCATTTATACTTTTCTACTGTATCCGTATTTTCTGTAAAAATGGTTTCTTCTATAATTGGGGCAGAAAAACAGATTTTAACAAGGTGTTTTCTTGTTGTTGTTGATTTTCACATATTGCTATCCCAGTTTTGCTCACTATGAGCACCAGGCTTTGTCCACTGAGTAAATCGTTTATATAAAATAATTTTTAGAGGGTTGTATATTTTGTTTCCTTTTCTGCATTAGGTGAAAAATGAATTAAAAAGATGTGTTGGGGATAATCCAAACTCCACTTGTTCGTTAGAGCTACGCATGCGCCGAAGTATAATAACCAGCCCTCGCTGGTGTGGTCAGTGGTTAGAGCTTCAGCCTGCAGACTGAAGGGTCCCAGGTTCAGTTCCTGCCAGCGCCATGTACCTGTGTTGCAGGTTTGATCCCCAGCCCCGGTCGGTGCAAGAACGGGAGGCAATCAACCGATGTGTTTCCCTCACAGCCATGTTTCTCTCTCTCCCTTCCACTCTCTCTGAAAAGCAATGAAAAAAAAAAATCCTCAGGGGAGGATTTAAAATAAAATAAAATAAAATAAATAATAGAATAGAATAGAATAGAATAGAATAGAATAGAATAGAATAAAAATAGAATAGAATAGAATAAAATAAAATATAAAATAAAATAATAAAATAAAATAATAAAATAAAATAAATAAAATAAAATAAAATAATAGAATAGAATAGAATAAAATATAAAATATAAAATATAAAATAAAAAAATAAAATAAAATATAATATAATAAAATATAATAAAATAATAAAATAAAATAAAAGTATAATAACCTAAATACAGACACGTGAAGAGCTGGGGCACGTAGAAGGCACAGACACATACATGACAGTAATGAGATCGCATGTAGACACATGCACCGTGTCGCCCAGGAACACGGCAGACCCTGTGGACGGCGTGATCCCGGGACACCCTCCTTTCTGTCCTGCGTGGATGAGCTTCTTGCCTGCCCCACGCGGCTACTTCTCCCCTTGGCACCAGTTCCCAGTGGGGACAGCAGCCCCCAAGGGGCAAAGACGGGTTCTCAGGAGTGAAGCAAAGTCTCTACTGTGTTTACGAATAACGCGCGATGTGCATGCGGCACAGAGGTGCTTCCTTCCTTCTGACGTCGTATTTGCAAAACAGCAGCACCGTTGCCAGCACACGGGACAAGCTAAATAACCGTGTCAGGAATAAATGGACAAAGTCCGTCGGGAAGGTTAGCGATACGAGTCACCCGCAAGTACTGATGCTTACAAGGGGCCAAGGGGTGTTCTGTTGACCTTGTGGATCCTCACAGGTAGCCTGGGGGAGACACTGTGCGGACCACGCCCTCAGGGACACTCACGTCCGTCCCCAGGCTGACACAGCCGCCCTGGGAGAGGGGCTGGGGACCACCCCCATTCTGCCAGAGAGAAATAAGACACGGGGGCTTTCACCCCACCAGCATCGCTCAGCAGTGGAGCATGTTTCTATCTCTCTCTCCCTCCCTGTGAAATCAATTAAAATAAAATGAAAAGAACACCATAGGACTCTATGAAAGGCAAACATTGCACAAACACATTCTCTGTCATTCAAATGCAAAACGGGAAATCAAGGAATGATTCTGGAAAACAGAACAAGTGGGACAATTACTACAGCTTCGGATGGATCGGGAGTCCGTACACGCTCGATGCGGTCAAGCTCACGAAATCTGTCCCCTGCTCTAGGCAGGCGTCATTGTAACCAGGGGTAGAAACGTCTTTTGCACTTGGATCCCTGCTTTCATTTGGCAGGGGAGGCTCGGAGAGGTTTTTATTCATTTTTATTTATTTATCTATTTTTAACATATTTTTATTGATTTCAGAGGGAGGAAAGGAGAGGGAGAGAGAGATAGAAACATCAATGATGAGGGTCATTGATCGGCTGCAGCCCACAACCCAGGCATGTGCCCTGACCGGGAATCGAACCCTGATCGCCTCGATCCTAGGTCGACGCTCAACCGCTGAGCCACGCCCGGCCGGTCTTGGAGAGGTTTTTAAAAAGTCAAATAAAACAGCACACGCGCTCTCATTACGTTGCCTAATTCCGTAAGATGTGTCTAATCCGATTCCTCCACGCTAGGGCCTCTGGGAGCAACCACCCCCGGTAAGTTCAACGTGCTCACGACTGTCTTTATTAATGTCCCACAGTTCTGTCTAGTTGACTTTTTTTTTAAACTGATTTCAGAGAGAGGAAGGGAGAGGGAAATAGAGAGAGAAACATCCGTGATGAGAGTCATGGATCGGCTGCCTCCTGCACGCCCCCGACTGGGGATCGAGCCCACAACCCGGGCCTGTGCCCTGAGCAGGAATAGAACCCTGACCTCCTGGATCCTAGGTCGATGCTCAGCCACTGAGCCACACAGGCCAGGCAGTTCTGTCCGCTCTACCCACAGTATAAAAGACAATTGCATAAAGCCCCAGGGTTGGATTAGAGTCTATCATTTCTGCCCCGTGAACGCGTGTTTTACATAACACAGCCATTCGGAAACCTCTTATCCTGTTCAATGTGTCCCTGAGCGTGAGTCTATGTAACTAGAGTCCTTGGAAAACGCAAACTTTCCGCCGTGAACCTCTGCCAAGGGGGCCCGTTTCTTTCAATTTCCTCACGTCCGTTACAAAGGACTGTCTTGGTTTTAATTTTTTCATATTTTTCCAGTTCTCTGCAAAAGCAGTATTTAGAGTTTTTAAAATTGCTTACAATGGCTATTGTGTGGTCCCTCTCTGTATTTTCTGAAAACAGCACCTCTAACCCCCCTCCCGCCATGCTCTGTGAATAAGATCCCGTTCCAGCCATGAGGGATGCGCCCTGACTCCTCACACCTAGATCAACCCCAACAATAGATATCCGTGCAACAATTCAGTCACAAAGCTCTTTGCGTGTTTGTTGAATGTGTCCTCGGCAGAACAGAAGACGTCGGCGTTGTTGCCAAGTCTAAGTGGTAAATGACGCTCCAGGGAGGAACAGTACTCACCAGAGGCCCCGGGTCAAGGTGGGCTCAGAAGCAGGGAGAACAGCCCGGCCCGTCTGTCTCAGACGCACCCACTCTCGGGCGCGGTGCCGACCGGTGCCCAGGGCGGTGGAAAGCTCTGCTCCACGCAGTCATTCGGGGACCCAGGTGGTCACGCTTCCACCATCTTGCGTCCATGTCTCAGGAGACCTTGGGGGCATCGGCCGGCTGGAAGGAAGACCAGGGAGAGACTTGAGAGCGGGCATGGACACGTCTCTGCCCGGCGTCGCCCGGGTAGAACACAGACACACCTAACCACCGCGGAAGGTCGCAACGGGCACGGCCGGGCCTACGGAAGGCTGGGCCAGCCGGCTCTCCCTCAGCTAAGAGCCCGAGCAGGGCTGGGCCAAGTTCTGAAACCATGCATCCCATATCGTCACTCCGGCCACCGCCGTCTGGTCTGGATTGTACCCTACGGGGCCACTAAGGAGGTGCAGGGAAAGTTCCCGCCGGAGGCCCCGGTCCAGCAAGAAACATGAACGTGTTTGCAAATGCTGGTCGGCCTCCAAGCCCTGACCCCAGCGGTGGGGACACCGTCTATCGCATCTGATCACGCTGAAGGTATAATCCCAGTTTCTGAGCGCGGGGCGCTTGCCTCTAAGGAAATCTGAATGAAAAAAATATATATCATCTAATGAGCTCTGTGCTAAGTAGCTACAGGCCTAGATGATGCATTTTGAGCAAACGCAACAGAGGAACCCCTCCATCCACCATCCCGCCGTCTTGGTTTTGGACGCGAAGCTGTTGTTCCAAGGTCAAAGTGCACACGATTGTGTTGTGTTCTGTGACAGTGCACAGAAGTATCTGCAAACGGCCTCTTATAATAACTATTTCCTTGGGCAGAGAAATAATTTTTGAAAGCCCTGCGGGCGGGTGGGGCGTGGGCTGGATGGGCCGATGCCGGGTTTGAGCAAACTTGAGACCGCAGAGGCGACGCCCGGGTCGGATGGGGCCCCAGGCGGCACCGGCCGGGCTTCCCCTCCGCCATCGGCCTTCACCTTCTGCGACAAAATTACCCATTTTTAAATGTCCTCCTTTGTTTCCCTTGCCCGAGGAGACGGATCAGCAAACATATTGCTACGAGACGTGTCTGAGATTTTACTGTCTATGTTTTCCTCTAGGATTTTTATGGTTTCATGTCTTGCATTTCAGTCTTTGATCCGTTTTGAGTTTATTCTTGTGTACGATGTAAGTTGTTGGTCTAGTTTCATTTTTTTGCCTGGACCTGGCCAATTTTCCCAGCACCATTTATTGAAGAGACCGTCTTTACTCCAGTGCACGCTCTTGCCTCCCTTGTTAAATATTAACTGACCATATGGTGTGGGTCAATTTCCGGGGTCTCTGTCCTGTTCCATTGATCTACATGCCTGTTCCTGTGCCAGTACCAGGCTGTTTTGATGAGAGCGGCTTTGTAGTATAGTTTCATGCCTGGCAAAGTGATCCCTCCCACTCTGTTCTTCGTTCTTAAGAGTTGCCGTGGCTATTCGGGCTCTTTGTAGGTTCCATGGAAATGTGTGGAGTGTTTGTCCCAGTTCTGTGAAATATGCCATTCACGCCTCGGGTGTGACCTGTTCCGTAGGGTCTCCAATACCTCGCACGCTCCGCAGGCTGATTTTTGCGATCCAGGCGATACATGCTACATCGAACTGTGCTCTGAACTGGCGAGGTGCATATGTAAATATAAATATATATGTTTAGGTAGATTCCGTGTTCTCTATGTTTCTGGGGAAGGCGGCCACCCAAGGGGAGGTCCACACGGAGTTTATTTCATCACGTTAGGCCTTTCGTGCGTGAGGTTCTAGGAGGTGTTTGGGGGTTGGTTAGGGAGTAAGGATGCATATAGCCCTGCCAGTGGATTAAAAGGTCCGGTTATTTTAGTACAGGGTTGTTCAGCCCCCCGCCCCCGAGTTGGTCCGTAAGCGGCTGGAATATCTGAGCGAGTCCTCGGCTGCGATCAGTCTCCGTCTTGTTCGGTCCCTTCCTTTCATCCAGCCCAGCAGGTCGGCTTTGGAGCTGTTTCTTATTTCTGTCCTATCCATGCTCGGTTTCTTTGGGACTCAGCCGGTGCCATTCAGTGTATCAGCTAATCAACCGAGCCTCCCTTAGGGTGCAGCCCTGATCAGCAGGGTCTCTTTTGTTCATCCGACTGACTCATGCATTAAAACGGTCAGCAGGAGAGGCCCGGGGAGAGGAGCCCACCCTGCCTCATAGTGGGTTAACTTAGTGCCAAGAGGCCTGTAAAACAGACCCCAAAAAAAGTCAGGGTGGGTAAGAAGAGAAGCGAAGGTAAACGGCCCCTGTCAGTTACCTCGGGCCAACTCGATAGCAGCTGCACCGCGGACACGACTGGATGGCCGTGGTCTGACTCGGGGGTGTCGGACTAGGGGGACGTTAGAGCTCGGACTACAATACAGCTATTTTCATTCCGGTCGTTTGTGTTTTGAACGTGAAATATTGCGACCTCAAGCATGCTCCACCAGTTGGGGCGTGGGAGAGGGTGTGTGTGTGTGTAACTTATGCCTACAAATATACGTTTCAAAGCATTTATTTATGTCACGAGGTTGTAGAATATAGCACAGCGTAGAACATATGTTGAGCGATTTTCCCTTCTTTCTGGAGCCACGGCCGCCAATTTGTCTCTGTCCCCGTGGGTAAAACCACTTAAGCCTTTTATCTCGTTTCCTTTGTGGGACAGTGGGGAGGAGAGATGCCCCTCGGCCACGTGGAGTAAAGTTTTGATGCCAAGGTTCGGTGATTAGGAGAGAAAAGAGCTTCCAGCCCCTGGCAGCGAGGTGCTCCTCAAACATCATTCTCCAGCGCCGCAGATTTTATCTTTGGAAACTGACAAGCTTTCCTCCTCCAAAGCCTGCTATCTTTAGCCTCCGGACACTTGTTCCGATAGCACCGTCTTCTGAGAGAGCCACGCTCTCCGTGGGCAGGGGCTCTGCCCGGAGGTGCGGTGGGGCATCCGAGGGGGCACCGTGCTCCCGGGAGTCTGTGCCGCACCCACCGAGGCCGACCCCGGTGGTGGAGCAGGTTAGGGAGGGAGGAGACCCTTCGGTTCACGGGACAGTCGGGCTGTGGGGACGCACAGGGGAGCCGAGGGCAGAGAACACGAGCAGGTGGATGGAGCTGGTGGCCCGGGTGGGAGGGGTGGGTGGTAGTGATTCACACCGAGCATAGGGTGGGCTCTCCTGTCCAGGCCTCTCGGCAAGTCCCTTTTCTCCCTCCGCACGTAGACATTAGTCCCCAGAGGAGGCCCGGCTCCTCATTCATCTTAAACACAATGCCTTTTCCGGATCGTGGGCACATTTTTTCCTGGTAAGAGTGTCATCCACTCTGGGGAAAGATCATGTGTGAAGATAGAAATTGTGTGTATGTGTGAGAGAGAGAGAGAAAAGAGAGGAGAGAGGGAGAGAAAGAGATACAGAGAGACAGAGACAGAGACACAGAGACAGAGACAGATACAGAGACATAGAGACACAGAGACAGAGACACAGAGACAGAGATAGACAGAGAGGCAGAGACAGATACAGAGACATAGAGACACAGAGACAGAGACACAGAGAGACAGAGATAGGCAGAGAGGCAGAGACAGATACAGAGACATAGAGACACAGAGACACAGAGACAGAGACACAGAGACAGAGACAGAGAGAGACAGAGACACAGAGACAGAGACTGATACAGAGACATAGCGACACAGAGACACAGAGAGACAGAGATAGACAGAGACAGAGACACAGAGACAGAGATAGAGAGACAGAGACAGGGAGAGATACAGAGACATAGAGACACAGAGATAGAGACAGGGAGAGACAGACAGAGACAGACACAGAGACAGACAGAGACAGAGAGGAGAGAGGGAGACACAGGGAGAGACAGAGAAATTTTCCTGCGATGTGAGTAGCACTCACTCCTAATTTCTCTCTCCATTTTCGTAAATGGAGACCGAGTTATCGGGAGGGCACGGAACGATATGATCCACGCCCCCGAGCGCTTAGAGATTAAAATGAAAGGAGGACTGAGACTCATTCTTGGTTAGCTGTGAGGCCGTGGGTGGGCTCAGGGGGAAGGGACAGAACAGAAACTCTCCGGCGCAGCTACAACAAGCCGTCCGTCATCAGCCGGCCTGGAAGATGATGGCGGGGATTGGGACTGATTCTCCAAGCTGTGGGATGGAGGGATTTTTAAATCCTTTCTGTCCCTTTATGTGGGATCCAGTCGATCCAATATAAACTCCAAGGGAACAGGCCACCAACCAGGAATGAAACGGAAGAAAGCAGCAAGGACAGAAAGCACGTGTTTGCTCGGCCATCGGTTTGCAGGAAAGGAGGTGGTTTGGTGACACATCCCGACTTGGGGCATTTTTACACGGGAATAACTTCTGTGTCCTCAGCTTTGTGGTATGTTACCAGCAAACTAAAATGTCCAAGACGTAGCGTTGGCCATGGTCTCCTCCAGGATATTAAAGCTGCCCGAGTCCATGCCCGCAGGAGCTATTGGACTGTGGACGCACAAGGGCCCCACGCTAACCCGACGAGCTCAGGGGAAGCCTGCGGGGGGCCTTGCAAACTCAGAGGCCTAAAGGAGCCACACGGGATGGTCTGAAATGAAAACTTTCCAACTAAAAGCAGGTTATGGAGGGTCATCAAGTCCTAGGCTGGTATCTCCTCTGACAAAGGTCCATCTTTACCGGAACTGAGCCTGTCTATTGTCTTTTGCACCTATGATAACATATTGTTGGAAAGTCAGAATAAATTCCTTTTTCCCAACCCCTCAAAGCACAGGCACTGCTCTGCAGAGACCACAGGTCCCCTCATTGTCATCGAGTTAATTATTGAGTTAACCGTCCTGCACCCAGCTGAGTAAAAGACGTGTGTCCATCATTTTACTTTCTACCCAACCCCAGAGGTTTCCCCGCTTTGCTTCCTCCCGCCTCCCTCATCTGTCCCCCGTGGATTTCAGGGGACCCCCTTACTTCTCCTCTTTGGATTGTAATGTGCAAAACAAGGGGCGAAACTGCCCTTCTCGGGAGCGTTATCTCAGCCCGTTGAGATCCTGCTTCCCAGCAATTGTCAACAGTTTGGCTGAAATAAACTCACAAAACTCCTCTACAGGTTTGAATGTTTCCTAGGCTGACAGGATAAGTGTC